ATTATACCTAAATGTTATATAATCTGTGGTATACAATAATAAACGCGATCAACTGTTGTCCAAAAATTTCTGTTCATTTTGAAACAAGGTTCCAGGTAGAGCCACTTCTGTGTCGTCGGTCTGATGACTGAAGAAGATAAACGAACAACCATCCTCGATTGCTAGAATAAGGTATATGTCATATACGTCGATCTCTCAAAAGCTTTGTGAAGGGTCAATCATACATATTTTATCAGTAAGTTCAAGCTGATAAGTACTAAGCAACTATCGACAGATTGGTTTACAAACAATGTAAATAATCTACCCTTTAAGGTCTGAGTGGACTTCATATTTCCCAAAACTTCGGGATTACCCGCTGGGGTCCACCAAAGTTAAATACAAATACCCTCTCTCTTTTCAACTTATGTAAATGATGTCCCTTGAAAATAATTGTTTGAGCTATTACTTTTCACTGATGATGTTTCGCTTTGGAGATATGAAGGAGAGTTGAACGCGAGATTAGATGGATTACAATGGGATTCAAAATGTGTACTGGTCTACATGCGATATGTTGCAAACTGCAAATGCCATGTAGGATATTCCCTTCTACGAGTCTACTGTTTCGAAAAAACCTACGTGTCTTAATATTTTATGGTCTAAAGTCTGTGTTGGATCAAAAACATACCACTTCCGAAAATAACAACAAAGCTATTACGTCCAAAATTAATTTGCTAAATATAAAATATACACAATAAGAATATACAAGATGTTACATAAATTGTCAGAAATTGGCGTGTTCGAGTTTCGTTTGGTCTGATAATCCACCATCATAAATAGTTGATAATTCCAATTCATATATGTCATAACTCAAGATGCATATCAAGATAAAGCACATAACGAGAACACGGTGGTCTGTTAACGTGGATAGCAAATATACTAGAGTTCGGTTATCATAACAACAGGTAATTGAGAAAAAGAATTATGTGTATGCAGCGGTGTATTTGTGAGTGATAATCAGTGTGTCATGCTACGGTAAATCTTAAAAACGAGGAAGAAAGATACAAGGTCATGTTCTTCGCATAAATATTTCACAGTCAATCACAGTAATTGGATCAATTATGACAATTAATGAAAGAAATGCAAATGGTAAATAAACTAACTACCGAACGTCAGTTCTAATTGACTCCATAAGTCCTTCTGTGATATTAATGCCATCAGAGCAAACCTTATACTGACAACTAAAGTGTACTTTTGGCCAATTTGATAATAGAGATAACTGCTCTTCATGGTTTTATCTGGACTCATTAAGATTATGTAAATATGGTATTTCCTCGTTCACTAAAAAGGGATGTGAATATTCTGGAATGCATCAGAAAGCTATCTTTTAAATGCACGCACTATCCTAAATATTCATGGACATTACTCAGAATGCCTATCGTTTGCAAGTTGTTAATTTCTGGAATTCGCTGCCGATCGAAATGGTTCAAACAATTCCCTGGGAGTCTATATATAGGAAACCCGACAGGTTATTGAAGACTAAGGGCAGTAATTTTTGTTAATTCACCAACATTTCTATTCTCCTTGCTGTATATACTCATTCTGTCTGGAAGAGTCTAGGATCCCTCCTGCAGAGGACCGCAAGGTGACAGCTTCTAATATACGGTTTACAAACAGATGAATGTGTAGTCGAATTGGGATTACCAATTGTATTCGTATTGGGATTACCAATTGTATTCGTATTGGGATTACCAATTGTAGCGTGGCGTCGAGTTGAGATTAACTATGAACACCGCTACCAAGATCAGAAGGCGTAAGAAGCTCGTTCCAAATGACTCCATAAAATCCCCGAGAAGCCAAATATCAGAAGGCAATTAATGGACCAAGTCGAGGTTTATTAGCTGGCGATCTCGTGGCATCGAAAGGATACCGAGATCGTGCCAGGATACAACCTTGGTTACAGAAGGTAACCGAATTCGCGCGAAGTTACAATTGAAGTGTAAGTATAAGAATGGAAGCACAAAATAGCTGTCATTAGCACAGTCAAACAAAAGCACGTTAAAACAAACACTGGTACAGTTGGTTATAATAATAATTGTTTTTATTAAACCAGTCGTGTTCTCGTGATAAATGTGAGTCGCTACAGGAGCCCCCCGCTAGAAAGGGTTAACACTTTCGATAAATAGCGGTTTAAATCGTGGGACTGATCGGCTGACGAGCGATTGTAGGACGGAAGAATTGGCGAACAGGAAAGCGATCGTTGATCGTCGAGTTGCCAACGAAGGTCGTTTTCGGAGAACGGTACCAGGAGCGATGTGTTGTATTGATTGCTCGAGTTGGCATGCTACACGAGAGTGGTTTGTATCCAGAATCTGAAGAGGGCGTTCGTAGGGAACGCGGACCAGGAACGCTGCAGACGAAGGACGAAACCACGTTGAGCCAAAAGGCCAGAAGCGACCATAACGACCAAGTTCGAGACCAAGCGTATGCCAAGCATTCGAAACCAATATATCGACTGAGTGCGTTGACAAGAGCATGGGTGGCCAATCCAGCTTTCGCCAAAGTTGACTGAAGTCGACGGAACCAAACGGAGATGGTCGAAGGCGTGGGCTCAGGAAACGAAAAGAAAATCAAAAAAGAAGAGTGTAGCATACGTGTAGTATAGGAATAATCCTACACCGTATCGGTTATTGACTGTGCGACTATTCGCGGAAGCGTACGGGTAACCGTACTCGGCGACCGGAACGTGAGACGGCAGTCTCGTTCGCGTCGCGTGAGCCTGCAATCTCATCCGAGGTCAGAGGCGGCGTGGTCTGCTGATCTGGACGTGAGACTATCGTCTCGTCCGTAGACGGTGCAGATGACGCGTGCTGTTGACTGGGACGTGAGAATGAGGTCTCAGATGTATCTAGCGTGGGACCTGAAGAAGATTTAAGGGTCCCGCTAGGTTTAATAGGTCTAGCATTGAATCTCAGGTTACCAGATAGGGCACTGTCATCGACGTGTGCTGGTTTGAGACGATCAACGCTGACGATCTCGACGCGTCCATATCGATCAACCTTGAAGGTCTTTTCGTGACGAGCGATCACGTGAAAAGGGCCTTCGTAAGGTTGTTGCCAAGGTTTGCGTACCGAATCTACTCGTACAAAAACATGTGAACAGGTAGATAACTCTCGAGAGAGAGCGACCTGTCGATGTTGTATTCGAGTTGACACCGGAGACAGCGTTCACATAAATGCAGACAGTCGACGGACGTTGTCTGATTTACCGAAATTAGGTCTGCTCCGTGGTGTGAAGGATTCTCCGGGCAGACGCAATGCCGTGCCGTATACCATTTCAGCGGCGGAACATTGTATATCTGCCTTCAAGCTCGTTCGAATACCTAAGAGGACGAGCGATAAGGTTTCGTACCAGTTGTCATTCTCGTGTGCTCGTAGAGCACTTTTAAGTTGGCAATGAAACCGTTCAACTTAACCATTTGGTGCTGGGTGGTAGACGGATATGCTTATGCGTATGCATTCCGTACCAAGCAGCCGGGTCAGCGAGGAGAATCGTTAATAGGGTAACATTTCTCGAATAAAGCGTGGAATTCATCATCACGCGAATAAAAAGTGGCAAGGATTCGGTACACATACGTGTGAGTCTATTATATTAATACTATTCTTATCGTTATCCGTCATGTCGCGTATATTATATATTAAAAAATATGAAAATATACGACAGACGTGGATAGATAAATCATAGACTCACCGAATTGGCTTCTTTGGAAGATTTGACCAGAAGCTGAGGCGTGTTCCAAAATACGGGTCACCAATTGTAGTCGAATTGGGATTACCAATTGTATTCGTATTGGGATTACCAATTGTATTCGTATTGGGATTACCAATTGTAGCGTGGCGTCGAGTTGAGATTAACTATGAACACCGCTACCAAGATCAGAAGGCGTAAGAAGCTCGTTCCAAATGACTCCATAAAATCCCCGAGAAGCCAAATATCAGAAGGCAATTAATGGACCAAGTCGAGGTTTATTAGCTGGCGATCTCGTGGCATCGAAAGGATACCGAGATCGTGCCAGGATACAACCTTGGTTACAGAAGGTAACCGAATTCGCGCGAAGTTACAATTGAAGTGTAAGTATAAGAATGGAAGCACAAAATAGCTGTCATTAGCACAGTCAAACAAAAGCACGTTAAAACAAACACTGGTACAGTTGGTTATAATAATAATTGTTTTTATTAAACCAGTCGTGTTCTCGTGATAAATGTGAGTCACTACAAATGTTTGAACCATGTTAGGAACCCTAAATTTGTGACCCATGGGGCACAGGAGAACTGGTAAGAATGATCTTGATTTATCATGATGTTCATAATTTCACTCAATCTGAAAGCGTCCCAAAATGCTTTATTACTGTGCTACACTGAAGAAGGAACAGATATTGTAGTACAAAAGTTCGTGTGATCTTTTTCGTTGTTAAAATCAGCAAGATGTGTAGCCGTCTACCAAGTGAAACAGTAAGAAAAGATGCTGAAGAGGCTTCCAATAGAATATTTTAAATTAAATTTAGTTCACTTGGTACTCTAAATTATTAGTTGATAAGGTATTATTCGATTAAATTTGCACCGTCGGAAGAGATAAATATCTCTTCATATTGTTATTAAAGCTGTCTGATCACACAGACACATAGTACTAAGGTAAATAATTGGTTGACTATCCGAACCAGAGTTAAGACTCGATGGATTACATGTTCAACAGGTCCGCAAATTTGTAGACGACGCTGAGACAAAACATAACGTTACAACGTACCGAGACGCTGTGCAGCTTTAACTCCATTTTATTCTGCCTCTAGTACTCACTCTTCTTGGAATTTCGTAAGCTCCATAAATTGTCTTTTTTTAAAGAAATTCTTCTAACAGAGAAACTATCTCAATTGGCCATCTCTTATCTGCTATTCCATTCCCACTCTTTCTTAAAGCGAACCCATTAACGGTAAGAGAAACTATAAAATGAGCATGGCAGTGTAAATCATGGGTTTATTTCACTTAGCAAACTGTCTAGTGTTGGCTACTGGTCCTCACTTGCTGGTATACAAGTCTAGTGGGATGTAGGTTAAATTCCATTTATTATGGCACCTTTTAGACCAGAAAATGATGCTTTTTGGCCCTGTTGCAAAATTGCATGCGTGTACGCACTTACACAAATTTTGAAGTTTTTTCTGGTCACCTTAGCTCCTCATACCTATTTACCTAAGGGAGATTCTATGACATTTGTATGCTTGTTTATTTCAATAATCGTTTCAGGATGTTTTTGGTATAGTATTGGAGATAATAGTAATCACTATGATTGTACGTGGATCACTTTGTAGAAGTGAGTTCAATGTAGTAGCATCCAGTGTAGGCTGGTCGATCGCTTCATTAGTAGCCACAAGGTGAGCTTTCAAACCCTTAATTAATGCCATCAGATATGTCCCGATTTGGGTTGGCACGCGTGGACTAGAATTCGACTGGAAATATTTGTGTTTGAGTTACGAAGCAAACTTAGATTTGGTAAGAATGCATATAATCCTTTTCGATTCTTTTAGGTTGATACATTTGTGATGTTTTATTCTGTTTGGTTACTGTCACGTCGCTCAGGCCCTACTTGGAGCACTCTATTGGGCCTTCTCACCGTTGTGGCGGGGCCAGCTAAAAGTATACTCTATGCGTAAGTTCACCCTTAAACTTAATGTACATCTTTGCAGTCACATTTTTTGAAATCTTGTTTGTATGTAGAATATAGTGACTAACTAGTTGGTTCTTTGGCCGTTACTTATTGCGCCAAGAATAATATGAACTGGAATGCCACTTGCTAGATATCAAACATAACAGTCGATTAGCTTTTTGTCCGACAAGTGGTTCACTTCCCATTATTTGTACATCAGTTTACTTCTTATTCAGATAGTTAAATGGCGTGAGCTGCAATCATATAATCCTTAACTGTCGTCAAATTAGAATCACAGCTTTATGCACTGCTGTATGTGTAAAAGGAAGTAGGATAGTTTGGTAGATGAAGTTAAACCTAGTAGTGTTGTATAGTAAGGCCAACACTCCATGCCTATCAAATTTTATTGTCTCAAGTGAAACATGTTTAATTTGTCAGTGCCTCTAAAGGTGGTATTTATCACAAAGACCAAGTCGACATGCATTTACCTAAGTTCCACTAGTCTAGTTTCTGGTTAGTTAAATCTTGAATGCACATCAGCTATGTATTTCTTTCGTATTTCGTGATAAGTGGGTACGAAATATTCCAAGTCTTCTCTTTTCACATATAGAGACCTAATGTCATAACAGTTTATCCTTCAGTTTGACAAATATATCGAATACATTCTACTTCTCACGAAAGATCTGCAGTAAATTTCCGTCTCATAGAAGTATCAATAAGCTAATATACTTAGTTATATAAATTCGAAGACAAGCTATGAAGGAAGATATATGGTAGCAATGGACAACTGCAAACTAGTAAATCAAGAGTATACTTCCAATTTGAAAACCATCAATCTACGAGTGATAGTTGATCAATAAACTATGGAACCTCTCACTGTTTATACATATGATATTTAACAGATTGTCTGCTAGAGATAGTTCTAGTTATCTTGACCATATACTTGGATTCTCCTTAATTAATATGCCTCAGTAAAATATATCCATTTCTGACAATCTGTGTAGTATTCGGCTGAAGTAAACCTCGTTAGCATTTCCATGTATCGTAACTTACTGACTCCCTGCTCCAGTTTGGGCACTCAGGCAGTATCACAGCCCTCACACAAATCAGAAGAGATTTGTGTGGTGCATATGTATTTGGTGCCCCCTTGTACCAATATCTATGTGTTCAAATAAATAAATAAAACTTAATGACTCACTGTCATTATCTTTTACTGAAAATTAACACAGAATTCGTACAGTTAAATGAGGCTTTTTCGGAACCTAAACCCAAACATCTTTATGCTTCAGTCTATCCTTACTTTCACTTCATTGTGTATTTATAATTAACTAAGTCTTTATTCTCGTACGGAATTTACTGTCCGAACTGGTTGTCCTGCACAGTATTAGAAACCAAGAACCTTAATACGTTCAATTCTTACCTGGTATCTCGTAATTAAAACTGACAGTTTAAACTAGCGGGTCACAAGAAACAATCTTAAGCCTAAGATATGTAATTCAGCGAAACTTTCCATTTGATTGCAGATTGTTACTAATGTTCAGTATCACTAAATTTAGTCATATTTCGTCAAGTAGTTTCTTTAGTCATCACACATGTGCTCTTTAACTGTACAAATTAGTTAAATAGTCAAAAGTATTTTGAGTGTAAGTCTAAAATGTAATCGCAGTAGTGCCAAGATTTCATTTATTAGCTTTCCAACACAACACGAGAACCTTGTGCTACTACTCTAAAATGTTAAATCGTTTCGCAACATCTAATTATAGTTCAAAGCTAACCATTTGTCACAAGTCAATTCGAAGTTGTAACTGTAAACTGAGAAGTCCAGACAACTACAAGTGCTCCCTCGATGCAGTATTTGGTTTCCAATACCGTAACAGTCAAGATCAATCCTTATAGACTATAGCAGTTATTTATTAAGACCCTAACGTCTTAGACAAAAGCTAAAGCAGCTAATTAGGATTCGAGAGCGAAGTCATACAGTCAGTCAGTAACAACGTAGAACTTCGTACGTACGTACATCAGTTCGAGTTGCCACACCACATTAGCACAGAGGTGCAGTGGTCTATTCAAATCCTGTAGTGCTAGGTGTAGTAAAATTATAAGCTGTTATCAGAAAAAATAGGGTTTGAAGATGTTATTCAAGGAGTATAATACAGTGCAATAGATTTGGAAAGAGAAAAAAGAAAGGGATATGAATAATTCAGAAGATTAGAATTTGGGAGAACACAAAGAGTGGATGCACCTGCGCCATTGCAAACGATTTTGAGCCATGTCATTCAGGGTCTCTAACCATCGGTTGCTATCATCTCGCGGTCCCCAACCAGGTAGTTTACACCTACCGATATGACCTAGTCCACTTGTCAGTGACTTCATGAACTTGTGCCATGTTTTGGTCTGGCCCCCCCTAGTTTTCTTCCAACCTACTTCTATACCACTGAACATCGCACAACGAGGCAGTCGGTCGTTGGGCATACATACCACGTGTCCCAGCCATCTTAACTGATGAAGTTTCACCACTTCATCAATCGATTTGCCATCCTTACCTAGTACCCGTTTCCTAACAACTGCATTACTTACTCGATGGTCCCAGGATATACGAGCAATATTTCGAAGACACCTATGATCAAATACTAGTAACCTACGGACATCCTCTATTCTTACCGGCCATGTTTCACTCCCATAAAGTAGGGCAGAACGAACTGCTGTATCCGTGGTGAGATTTCGTCACACACCAGACCACAAGGGCTGATGAGACTTGCAAGATAAGTGAAGCGATCGACGCGCTCAATTACATCACTTTCTATCATTAGTTTGGGTGTCGATGCAACCCAATCCTGAAGCAACATTTTGCATTTCGAGGGGGAGAATCGCATCCCGAACATGCTTGCATTGTTGCTTAGAGTGGTCAGAAGACTCTGCATTTTGTCAGCGTCTTCACCAAATCGAACTATGTCATCAGCATATTCTAAGTCAACAAGTGAAGCTCCCGGTAGAAGTTCAACCCCTGGAAATCTAGACGAGGTAAGTGTTACCTCCAAAAGTACGTCGACGACAAAGTTGAACAAGAATGGAGAGAGTGGACAGCCCTGACGAACACCACTTGAGGTAATCAATTCTGATGACAGTTCGCCATAAGCTCTCACTCTACCAGTTGTGTTCGAGTAGAGAGCCTTTACAAGGTTAATGTACTTCTTTCAGTGACAAACACTGCCATAAAACCTTACGATCAACAGAGTCGAATGCCTCCTTAAGGTCAAGAAATACTACGATTGTGGGGCGTCTGAATGTATGTCTGTGTCCTAGAACCTGACGTAGTGCGAATATCTGGTCCATACCCGACCGTTGTTGCTACCTTGACGTGGTGGTCGGGCTTGCCTATCGTGATGAAGCAACCGAGTTATACTGGCTGGAACAACCGTTCCTCAAGGTCCTACCATGTTAGACAAGTTGTTTGAAGAGCGGTAAGACTAAAAGCAACAAACCCAAGGTCGTGAGAAGGGTTAGTCGGGGAGATAAGAATGGTATTAAGAGGTGTAGGAAGGATTTGAATGTGACCAACTTGATCTCGTGTGCTATTACGGGTATGAGGGCTGATGTCACTTCCCGGCTGCCTACACCGTGGAAGGGTATTTCTTGAGGAACCTGAAAAGGAAGTTGGATTAATGTTGGCCGAAGTCATGCAGGTAAACGTACTGACGTGTAGTGGTATTAAGATTATTCCGGAGAATTACCGTCACTTTGAATAAAACGCAAGAAGTAAAAAACGGACTTTTGAAACAGTTTACCTCCTTAATCTAAACATTTTTGGTACCGATGGTAAGACTTAAAAAATGAAGAACTAAAACAACATATAAAAGAGTCGTACGTGACTGGCCACATCTAGTTGTCCCTTGGGTTCCGGTGTTACACTTCCAGGTCGATAAGATTCCACGAATTTTTGAACGAGATATCATTCCAATGTAAACGACTAGCAAGTACCTACCTTCCACACCAGTAGCACTTAATTTCATCTTGTCTGCTATTAAACCTGGTCCCTCAACAATTTTTCTATCTTAAAAATATATTTCAGTAGGTACTACCTAAGAATTTAATTGATTATAAATGGGATTTTTAAGTCGACATAAATTGGGATAATCTTTAGTCAGTTATATAAACAATGGTGACGTTTTTAATAACACATAGAATAATAATGGTTATGGTGCTTCAGTAACGTCTTACGAACTCATTTCAGTGGTTTCCAAAGACAACAATAGCCGAAGGAAACGCAAATGCACAGATGACTAAGGTTGTTTTCTTAAACGTCGTTAATGAAAGTTAATAAAGTGAGATTGAGCCGTTTTTTACTCATCAAAGAGACGTAGAATAAAAATCGTCTCTCTGGAGCTATCCGTACGAAGGACGGATTATCAATCTACTTCCAAACAAAGAGATATATTTCAATCGTCTTTTTGTTATTTTCCGAATACCAACAAAAAGCCCAATTGAAACATTAGTAATTTCTTCTATTCAAAACGATGTTACATCTATAATAACCTTAAGGCAAGGTAACTCAAAAAGTCTTGACATCTTACTTCCAGAAAATCTCTTAAAGTGATGGCACATTTTTCTTGGAGAGATTGGTTGATATTGGATAATCGAGGGGCAAGTTACTGGCCCTCATTGTTCTACTTTATGAAAAGAACGGAAATCCTTTTTAGATCGCTACAAACGAAAGTCACATCATGTGTAAACTATTAGCTTCCGTATTCATTCGATTTCTAGTCAAGACTCAAAAATCCTGAAATAGCAAATTACGTTGTAGACCTGACTGCAGATGTATGAATCAAATATTTTCTGGTGTTGTTACACAGACTTTCTTCACTACAAGTAACTAATCGTATTAATCTGTCAGAAGACGATATTTAGTCAATGGTTCTTGCGACGAAAGTTAATTAAAGAACCAAAACAGTAGTGCGTCAATTTCCTGAAGTATCTACTCGACCACTTAATTAGGTCAACACACTGATTTTCCAAACCAAATAAGGCTTCTAAGCTTTCTGCTATAATTGATGTTACTGTTATTACTTTATTTTTTTGGTATTCATCTTCCTATCAGTGCAACAAATTTGACCAATAAGTATATGCTAGGTCTTACGCTATATATGATTGACTAGCTACTATACAGTTCTTGAGAGACTCAACTGTGATAAATTAGTGGCTAGCCTAACCTCTACAGACACGGAAACTTCTATTGATTTTCACTGCGTTGCTGTGCATATTGCTCAAGTAATTTCTTGAGTGATATCACGTACTGCAATCCTCCACAACTGAAGTCTGCTAACATAATAATCTATGTTCAAAGCAGGAAAAAGCCAATCTCATTCCCACAGGTTTTGTTCACTTTTTTTTTATCTTCCTTTGAATATTGAGGTTTAGTACCAGCTCTTTTGCTTCTCGATATCACTCGTTGTTTATGAGCTCTGTTCTCGTTTAGTGTTTACTACATGGCAAAAAGGTCCAACTGCTGTGTTTATTGTTAAAGTATCTGCATAAGAATGAAAAAATGATCGAAATATCGAGAATGCTAACTAAATGTTCGTTGACTTCGTTTTATATTAAAACGAACACTGAAAACTATCTTTAAAATTATGTCCGTAAGTCCAATATTTATTTCACTAAACTTGCCTCGCTATCCGCCAGTAGAATGTAATAAATAGAGCTCTTCCGCCGGTAACAGCCTTAACTAGGCGAAAATTCATTAAGGGTCTCCATCTGAATATTTAACGACAGCCGCACAAATCTAATGTTTCATTTAGATTTCATTCTTTAAGGATTTACTTGGCTCTCGCTATATTTCTCTAAACAAATCTCTTATATAAGTACGTTTGTATGTACGTCATTGTACATAATGTTTGCTCAAAAATGGTACAAGGACTACTACTTATCCAGTTTTCAAAAGATTGCAAGTAGATCTTGAATATTTTTTAACACAATAATATTGTAGTTTTCTCGCCTTTTAGATTATTATCCCACGAAATTGAGAACATCTTCGTAACTCTCACGATAAAGACAATCATTTGCATTATCTTTGGAATTACAACTATGATAATACGATTACAAAGACATACTGATCGAAGTGAAACCCGGGAATCGCAAGGATTATTCACCATTATTCGTTTGTTATACCAGTTGATAACGGGACGATACATATGTGCGTACAAAAGTCGAGGCTCAAAATCCAGCTCATCAGTGTTTCTCAAAAATGTAAAATGAAAAGTTCGTTTCAAAACGCTTGTCTACAAACAAAGTCTTTCCACTGTGCAACCTACAATTAAGAAAATGATTATTCTAGCGTTCTTTATACGTATTTTGAAAACAGAAAATGTTTCAAATGCTAGTTTCTTTAATAAAATAAATGTGATGTAATCCAAAGGTTTAATTAACTGCTTAAATGTATTTCATCTGGCATAAATTTAGCACAACACCCTCAGTCATGATCAAGTGAATTTATCACCAGTTTGTTAGTCAGCTGCACCGATCAGTTGGTTTATTTGAATGTCAGTGGGATATAATCACAAAACACTGGAGAAATAGGTGAATAATTATAAAGACCTAGGAACATGTTCATGAAGAACCAAGTTTTATGTGAAATCTGTTTACGGACAACAAAAATGCCAGGAAAATATTCTCTAAATTAAACCGTTTTTTAAATTGAATGATTTAAATTTATTATGCATAGCAGCCTTCATTATATCTTGATGTCTTATAACGACTCATATTGACTCCAAAGATATTAAGTTTCGGTATGTATTCATTTGGATATAACAGTGAGTGAAGCGAATCCAAATTAGGAGCGTGATTGGCAAGTCTATAAATGTATGTGATGATCAAATTAAAAATTCCTAGCTTTATTTGGAGGACCTTATCTTTAGCCTTGGAGTTCCAATATTTGACAAACACTAAAAGAGTCCCGGTCTGATAGACGGAATTGTCAAAATATAGTGGTCAGTTTTACCGTTACACAGGTAATGTCTTGCCTCGAAACCGAAGTTCACGGCTACCAGCATAAGAAAGCTTTCGGCTGACCAGATACTTTCAAAACGCATGCTCTAAATACTTTTAAACGATTAATTGCTCGCTCGTTCGAATTATATAACGCCAAATTACACGTAAGCTAGCTTATCTCTGTGAGGATCGTGTTTTTCGGATATGACACAATACCATAATCGAAATATCCAACGAAACATATTTGCCGCAGTACCTACTACCATTTAGTTAACGACGTCAAGTATGAGAATAAAAAAATTTCTTACAGGAACTGATAGATAGTGAGATATTTCTTTCTTCTTTTGATGATTGCCAGGTATTTGAGACATGAGTTCCTTCAAAGCGTTGATATTTCGCTTTTCCAAGCAGAGCTGAAATAAAAGACATTATCAGATGCTTTGAGAACTGGTACGTTTTGGAATATCTCAAACTGAATTTCACGGTGAAACAGTGTAATTAAGGTTCATTTGCTCTATTTGGATATGTGCGTTGTGTACTTTATCATAATCGTGCGGTAATTTACCGGACTAGGAATAATATTATGGCTGGTATATCAATTCTTTGTTACATTTTTTAACTTGATGATCAGAAGTTATTATTCTGAGCGCGTATACTTAACTATAACGACAAACTAGAATGTCGAAATGAAAAGAAAACAACTGAAGAATTCGTGATTGATGTAACAGACGACTGTCAGTTTACGTGTTTCTACACCGGCGAGTGACTCACAGTTAGCTAATCTCCCGGATAGACATAACTTACAAATTTTCTTGAGGTGAACTGACATTTAGGATGTAACTGTAGTGTGTTCTACTTATGTCGACAGATATGAGTAGTATATGTCACCAACCGAAAGTGGGATAGCTGGCGGCAGAGGGTTGAGAAGATCTGAAAGAGGACGAGAGTAATTGTTATGGAAATGAAAGAATAATGAAGTCTGAGACGATTGATGGACATTTTGCAAATGAAGTACTTTCTGTATGGTTCTCAGACTTTAATAAGATATTCTGTAATTTTGGATTCAAACACATTTGGTTGTTCCCACTTGCATTCTCGTTCACTACATTTCTACCTGTTAAGAATAAGAGTACTATAGTGCTTGATACATGCCCTTTTCAACATATTGTACTGCAGGCTACAATTGTGATTCCATTTAATTCCGCTTTTTGTGTTTTTAAGTACAGAAATTTAAATGCACTGGAGACCTTTCTAAATCTTCCACCAAATTACTGTTTCACTAATGGGAAGTAAACCTCCATTTTTGGAAGTACTAGAGGCTGTGATAGGACTATATGATGGAACCCTATATAATGAATGTAAATGTAATTAACGTTGAATAATGTGTAGCCATAAGGGTTGTTCGTTATAAATTGTTACAAACAATTTAACTTACTTTAACCGCTTCATCGACCATATTTAACCGAATAACAATCTGTATAAACTCATCATCACTTAGATATTTCAAGTAACTTTCAATAATCTAAAAAAGAGAAACACAATGAAAATTCAGATTATGAAATAACTTAACAGTAATACCACTGTAAGAGATTAACCCTTAGTTCATTGACTCAACAAATCTAATAATTGTCTTAAATGTATCACTCAGTTAATTTCACAAACATCATAGAGAATATCATTATGTGTTCTAAGAATGGGAACATAATTTCCTCAGAACGAGTTTATTTGGAGATCTACCTATGATATCAGATGTAGAACAGTTTTTTTCATAGACATGTGGATATAACCACTGGATATAACACTGCCTTTTCACTATTCTATCGAAAGTAAACTAAATATTTCATATATAATCACTCCAGTTGAGGTAATTGAATAAACATTAAAACCACCTAGATTATGACTACATTTGAGTACCAACAGCTATCAGTTTGCAAAACTGAGCAAAAGCAGATTAGTAACGGGCAACCAGTTTCAATGAGTGTAACAAGAAGAAAACGAAACAACTAGATCCAAGAGATGTAGTCAATGTGGCAGGAAGTGTATGTGAACATGATACACTTTAGATATGTACCTTTAATGGCTTGCAAGTTCAAAGATTCCTTCATTCATATTCAGAGGGTTTATACCTAAATGCAAGGACAGAAACCGCATATTAGCAACTTGTAACCGATGAAGGTAGGAGATGACTTTTCGAAATATAGGAAATTATTTTAGCCAGGTAGTTGGTGGGTCTTTGACTAAGTTAGGAACCTTAGATAGTATCTTTAGAGCAGTGTAATCGGTTGTATGCTACAGCAACTGCAATATTAGTTCTTTCTACTTTATCGAGTCAGCTGGTAAGAACTCCACTAGGCGTCAGATTGTGTATAAATGGGGTGTTACTAGTTAAGGAGCTGATTGCATTATCAGGAAATCTATCGAAAGATATTTTATTCTTATCCAAGAAATAGGCTATAATAAAAACCATGATTCCTAGAATTCAATCTACTGTCATATCTAATGTAACATATTGGAATCTTGCTGATAGACTTTATTTGTAACGTACTTTGGTCGGCACTGTAACTTGCTGTCGAAATATTTACTGAAGTTAAAAGTAGAAATAATCTGTTTCTTATAGGTTCAGAAATCCCAAGACGCGTGGCCTGAAATATGGTCGAATTTCTCTCTCAACTGATGGTGACTTAAAAAAAATGATCTTGTTTTTATTGGCATCACTGTAGCCAATTCTGTAAAAACAGGAATGCGCGAATTGTGTATGTAAACAGTACCGCTCCGACCTCTTACTGTGTATGTAACCTATAAGCTTTAGAAACTTGTGCTATACTATTAATCTGTTATTATTACCCACAAAAATACTACAGATTATCATTGTGCAGATTCACAGTTTTGAGAAACTCCCGAGGAAGGATTTCTTCACCAAATCTCATCTTAGAATTCGACAACCTCTAAGGACTAGACACTGAATTCATTACCATCTACTAACCGACTTTTTTTTACTTAGTCTGAAAAGAATCAAGTCATCAGATAGCTAGCTCATTGGTAAGGTCTCTGAATGGGGTGGAACTCTCAGTTAAATAAAGTTTACAGATGAGTGTTAACAAACAGTAAACCCATGTTCATAGCCCTTGGTTGATCATATCTAAACTCAAAAGCAAATAATATCCTCAAGATGGTAGGTTTTCGTAATCACAGATAAAACAAAAAAATGTTTGAAGATGACGTTCAATCAGTATTTTTTCGACAATTTTATTTTAAAAAGCCGTATTTAAACGAGAAAACTAATGAACAAGTTTTATATATCAGTGTGCATTAATATACTGAGTGGAAATGATGGAGTTCATTTCACAATAAAAATTAAAATAAATAACCATTAGAAAGAGGGATAATAAGACCGACTAGATATGATAGAATACATGAGAGATTAAAGGTCAAGGACACGATCACAAGATGTGAGATTCCGGTATAATTCCCCAAATAGTTAAATAGTGCCCCCCTGACAGTTAGTTGTTTGAGGTAAAGAGAACAAGATTGATTTGTGTTATATAGTTTTAAGTGACAGACCATTAGATAACAGATTTGAACAGGATACTAACATCAATCTGGGGCTATTTACAAAAAACAGACATCTCTGAGTGTGGTGATATTCCCGATAAGTTATAAAGATTTCGCAATACATTAACTGAGTCGTGTTCAGTAAACTAGTTCGCAAATGAGTGAAAATGTAAGTCTTTCAATTCGTCAATGCTATGATCTACCTTTTTAAGGAATATATTTCTGATCTACCAGGTTTAAAATAGGGGATACAACCACAACGATATAACTGTAAAGTTCCAAATCAACTACTTACAACCTTGATATAGAAACAACCCAAGATTAATAGAAGCCCAGTAACAATTAGGTCTCATATATACTATAACAAAGCGTCATTTCACGTAGGTAAACATCAAACCTAGAGTTACAACAATTTATTTCTGATGAAAAATAAATAGTCTCCTCAACGCAGATGGAATTAAAAATGCATCTCAAAATGGATGTCAGTTGTACTGTTCTTTTTATCTACTTACTCTAAAATAGTACTAAAATATATGACAATTCATTTGTAGTTTTGGGTCATTTAAATGTTCTTTATTTTCTTTGCAGAATTACATGTTGTAGAACAAGTGGATATTATGAAATAATAACTGCAAAGCGACTTACATTGTTTGGGACACCTAATGAATTGAGATGAAGGATAAAACGGTCAGTTGGGATGGTAACCTCCATACGACGCGACAAAGATTTCTTTAGAAATTATAGTCGATTTATGTAACCAGTCAGTTTACCTTTTTTAACATGATAAATTCCAGATCGTCCCAGTTTCGTGACTGAACAAGGGGCTCTATCAACAACCATCTAAACTGTTCATCCGATATCTGAAATATAAGGATATTAATTATTAGTAATATATAACAAGAATTATTTCCACACGATGAGAGAAAACAAAAAACCTATGACGCATGACAAAAATAATTTGAATGTGAACGTAGAAAACAAGTAATGTAAGGATCATAAGACAATTCCGATAGCCAGAACACACTATTCAAAGAAATCCAAACATCTTTATCTTGGTGTGAACAACTGATATAAGAGTCTAACTAACTATTAGTTATTTCAGAGCATACCAGTGTCAACATGAAATATCTACGTGAATTATAGGCATCGAACAGTGGAGAAATTGACAGAGCATCTACTCAACATATTTACCATACAGCATTCAAAGGAGAATACTAGATTGAGGGTAAGTGGGAGGCTATTCACCATTTGGCTTGTTATATGTAAAAGAACATTTGCCCCCAAATGCCCTGGTACGGCCGAGAGTGGGGAGAGTCCTCTCTCCCTCTCGAAATGCTCTCACATGGCCATGCGTATATAGCCTCTGCCAGGGAAGTCCTACTCACTGCCTTCTCGTGGCGGGGGTGTTGTTTACGAAAACGAGAGGACGAAAAGCGAATGTCCGGCGCTTTAACCGGATTCCAAAGCAATGGTGCACATGGGCTCCAGTATCCTGCGGGAACAAATGTCGTATGAACCAATTGTTGGTCACCGGCTTCCATTGGACTGCATCTCCTGACGATGCTCCAGTGCCTTGTGGATCAGACCTTCAGGTCGAAGGCTCGGGGAGTGGCCCCCTAAGAAAACCACCTGCTTCGGTTTGGGCACCCGGGTAGTATCACAGCCCTCACACATATCGAATGAGATTTGTGTGGCGTATATGTATTTGATGCCTCTTTGTACCATTATCTATGTGTTAAAATTAAAAAAAAACATGAGAACTGGAAAAGAAGTTATCGGTTTAGTTTGCTACACTTTAAATTAACACAGAAAGCGAGATTCAATAAAGAATATATATCAAGGTCAACAATAGTGGAAAATCAAAGTAACGGAACTAATTAAAGGCATAATATCCCAAAATATCTAAAATTCAGAGAAAGATAAAGAGCGTACCTAGATCGCTGACTGATTTTAGGCTATGTCCTATAATTTATGTGGATCCCGACTGAGGAACCTTCGTCTTAGCATACAGCTCAAATGGTTTTCAAGAGAATGAATCTAGAAAGTGGGCAATTCTGAAACCAATTCAAGTAATCACTTCACACAATCAACAACTGCTAACTTGATTGTGGTCATAAGTCTGAGTTTAGAGATCTTAGTAAGCTGATCCATTATTGTATATGCCAACCAGTGATAAGCATACGACAAACTCTAATGAACGTTGAGTAGCATGGTTGTATCTAAGAATAAATATAGTGTTAGCAAGTACACCTGTATTCTTGAATTCTGATATAAGTCCCAGGTTTGATTGATCGATATAAGGTAAAAACGCCATCACCAGGACGTGAGACTCCGTAGAGCAGTGTTTTATTTATTTAAAGGACTGTCCTCCACCAAAACCCCTGGTTTTATGGATTTTGAGAAACTCAAAAATGATTTTGCTTTTAACTTCCTCTAAATAATTTGCATGGCTAAAGAATAAGAGACAAACGTCTCAGTAAATGTAACATGATTGGTTATCATATTTAGCAAATTTTACCGTCATGTCAAGATAACAGTTATGGTTAGACCGTAATACTTGAGTGACTGCTTATGAGATATTTAAGCCTATATTTCTTCTTGTTTACATCATCCGACTAGTATATACCTGTACGTTTTTTCTAACCAAGGGATAATATGCCGACTGAACATAATGACTGGTTAGAACATTCCATATAAAAATTACGAAAACTAAATCTCATACATATGTATAAAGTAGCTTAATATTATTAAGAGCAAAAAGTAACTACTTCAAATCAAATTTTAAAAACCACGTGCTTTGAACTTTTTCCCAAGAGTTTCAGCCCGACTATTGGTCTTAATGCTTTGATCCATCCTCGCCAATGCACCAAGAGTTTCGCATAATGGCTGCATCAACAAACTCTCAGGAAGTGTAGTAGCGTTTTTCCGGGCGTTTGTACGTATAAGAAGTTCACTGTAATATGAACTCCATTCTCTTTCCTAATATAAACAAATTACACTAATTATTGAGTGAACAGAAATAAATACATAGCTGTTCTGATAATCCAAGATAACAGCCAATTCCGAAGAGATTTCAACAATATTTTTAACAGCAAGATTTGAGGCTACTTCAGATCTAAGCGAAGTTAGTAAAAAAACTATATTTTAAAATACTCTGCAATCTGCATTAAATGTTTATTAACTTCGTCTACATGACCCGACGATAAATTCATCAACTTTTGCATCAACTGACTATAGCTAGAAATCTTTACAGCAACAAGCATTTTGTAAATAAGTTGAGATACAAGGTAAGCTTACTTCACTTTCTCTGATAAAACCTAGTATTCTGAACAAATGAAGTTATTTATACCCAAATTAACTCACTTCATATATTTCTTTAAGTCTACTAACTGTCCAGTATTTCTAAGGAAGTTAAGAAAATGAAACCCGGCTACGGGGTTTTTTAGCAAAATATTTTCAAAAGTGCTTTCTGATAATGAATTCCTAACTTCAATAACAATCTGTAAGAAGTGATAATTTGAAATAGATAGATTTCGAAAGCGGATGTTAACCTTTGTAATTAAATTTCCATCAAAAGTGCTTGTAGTCAAATTTAAAATAACTGATTTAGAAGATTGTGAAACAAAAGTACTCAATGGCCATGTACTCATTCCCCCAACAACAAAATCATCAAGAGCTATTGTAATTGCTTTCAACCAGCATGCCTGTTACAATAAAGATCAAAATTTAAAGAACTGTTGTATTGTATTTGAACCTCTGAACAGAACGTAGCATCTTTTTCATAGTAAATCTCATTACCGATTAAGTTATGGCATATTGTACAAAATTGATTGTTAAAGTCTATTAGGTGAAATTTAGATTATCACAGTGATACTAATTGAGATTCATACCTATTGTTATTGATTCATCACAAAATTTTTCACCAAAGCTATCACCGAGAATATGAGAGTACGCTAAACAAAGTATGATGGTAGAATTTAGTGATAAACTACTTGAAGTATTATCTGCTTCCTCTAAATCAAATTGAAATCCTTTGACAGCACTCTCCTCCCATATATCATCCGACATCCTATTTAAAGAAAATTAAAAAATCAACCAAAAGGACTTGATCTGTTTTTGAGACATACTGACAAAATATCAAGATGAAGTCGACAACTTACATACAACATCAAAATTAAACGTCGACTGTTAGAATGCTAAATATATTAGTGATTGGGATTAGTATTGTGAACAATGGAACTTCTTTACACTGGAAAGTTGGAAAGAAATCAAAGTGATAAACAGCTTCTGTAGCAAAGCGTTATACTTCTGAATGACGTAATTAATAGTTGGACGACAAAGATAACGATCCATCAGTCAGTCACCTATGACGTAGAACTAAGCACATACATGCATCAGTCCAAGTTGCCATACCTCATTAGCACAACAAGATGAACACCAAAATCATTGTACTTACTTCAATTGTAGAAATATTTAAAAGAAAAATTGTGTATAAGGATATAGTACAGGAAAAAAGAAACAGTTCTCCAAAAAAAGATATAAAACAATTTTAACTTCATGGTTTAAAAGAAAGGCAAGAGTGTATACACCGACGCCATTGTGATATATTTTGAGTTATGTCACCCACAGACTTCAATCAATGGTTACAATAGTTACACGGACCCCTACCAATGACGTATTGATTACACAAAATAAATTGAACTAAACAGAAGGGAGCAGTTATAGGTACAAGATTAGTTGAAAAAAACGAATATCACTCGTGAACCCAATACGTTCAGACTGCATATATCCAGTGAGCGAAATGAAACAAATCTGTATAAACCGGATGAAGAATAAGTTTTTTACAAACTACGTTGTTAAGAATTAGATACACTATCTCAAGCATTTTATCAACGTTGAACCGGTTGTTGATGACAATTGATCATAGCGCTACAAACAACAACTTCCGACAGAAATATTTCACCAGAAATACAACTAACTTAGAAAAAAATAAAGACACACACCCGTACTCAGAATCATAAAAGACCCTGTTAGTTGTTAATAGTGTCCAATTTAATGTCCTAAAACTTGGGCGTTCTCTAAACAGTTGGGCATTTAGTTACAGTACAATAAAACCAGACTAGACTACACTGTGCACAAATATTTAGAAATCGATTATACAAGGTAGGACTAAGGCAAAAAATGGATGTAGGAGTCATTGATTTTTTATACCAATTTTAAACGTTGAGAATATTCCCTCCTTTTAAGCGAATTTCTGTAATAATTCTGTAAAACTCAGGTTGGAAAATTTGATTACATGACAGAATACGAACAAAAGACTGTCTTGACTGCTGATTATTAAATCCCAATAAACTAGAGTATCAGACATGCGAATGACTAATGTATTATCTAGATGTAATCATCCTGCTTCGGTTTGGGCACCCGAGTAGTATCACAGCCCACACACAAATCAAGTGACTTGTGTGGCGCATATGTACTCGGTGCCCCTTTGTACCGATATTTGTCCCAATAATAATAATAATATGTAACCATGATGCATTCAATATGAGTTCACTTAGTTGAAGAAACACGAATCACATACTAAAACCTGAAAGTGTTTCAAGGATATATGCTTAAATATATGAAAGTACGCTTCAAAAGTGCCACCAAACAGGATATCTTTCAAACTCATGACGGGCTTTTCTTCTTTATGCACCTTTTGGAAGTTATTTCAATATTTAACGGTGAAGGTGCCACAAAGTAGTGTACTTCCAGATAACATCGGAGTGTGACCTAATAGTATTATTTTTATCTTTCCCGAAATCCGAGATGGGGCTAACCCTCTTCGGTATTTCGGACTGCAAAGAACGACCCGTATTGCTTATTACAAAAACCAATGCCAAAACAAGAACGCCGACGTCTGACTTACAGCTTATAGTTTTAAACCGGTCCAAGGTCATCAGTCCGGCATCACCTTGATTGACTATGACCTCAAATGGTTCAAATGGTTGTCGACGGAATAAAAGAAGCTTTCGCTTAACGGCATTCCGTATCTAATAGCAGTGGATCGCCAATACCTCTAGGCAGGAATCTAGGTATATTAACGATAATAGAGGAAAAGGGAATTGGTAAATCATAGTAAGATATTATCCTTAGTCCGTAAGAATAGGTCAAGTTGCCTCTTAAATGACTCCTGGGAAGTCTCTTGGACTAGCTCATCCGGCAGCAAATTCCAGAATTTGACAACTCTTAGGGAGTAGTAGTTGTGTCTTTAGTTTCTGGGTGTTACTCCTTAGGTTTGTGTTAGAGCTAAACTTAAGGGGATGTGCAGAAGTGTTAAGGATACTGTGAGCCACTGGAAGGTCGCCTCTAAGACGCCTATACTCTAGTGGGCAAAGGTTTATTGACTGGAGACGCTCTTCACAAGGCTTGAATTTGAGTCTCTGAACTGATTTCGTGGCTCGCCGTTGGATGCGCTCCAGAGTGTCCTTATCCTTTTGGAGTGAGGGAGGAAATACTATATTTCCATACTCTAAATGGGAACGAATAAAACTGCTGAAGATCATGTGGAAAGTTCCTCTGTCAAACTAGCCAAAAATGCCCTTCAATGTTACCAATGTGAGGTTTTCTCGAAAGGCATTTTGTCACAGTTAGCGTAAGATTTCAAATCATGGGGTACCAGCACTCCTAAATCTTTTTCAACTTGAGATACTTCTAGAGAGGAGTTTCCTAAGTTGTAACTGTAGTCTGCAACATGTCTCAGATGGGCTACTTTACACTTTGAAGTGTTAAAGGTAAGTCCGTTGTCGTCTGCCCATCTTTGAAGTCTAGTCACATCCTCCTGAAGTGCCATTATATCCTTTTGGTTGCGCATCTCTCTCTCCAAAGTTCCACATCATCAGCAAAAAGTGATTAGTCAGACGATACTTGTTGTGGAAGATCACTTATAAAAGTCAAAAAAGAAGAGGTCCTAGTACTCAACCCTGGGGGACCCCACTAAGACATTCCATAGCCTGAGAGAAAGTGAAGTTCACCCTGACCTTTAAATGTCGATTTTTTAGATATGAAGTGAACCAGCTAATTAGAGGTGATTTCATATCCAATCGTCTGAGCTCATTGGAGAGACATATATGGTAGATCCTATCAAAAGCTTTTGAGAAGTCAAAGTAAATGCCGTCGATTGCTATGAAGGAAAGGGTACTTCTGTGTGTAATACAATAGAATTAGCGACAACAACACAATAGGCAGTTTAAATACGTGTTATCAAACAAAACGCTTTTTGAAAGACTTGTGAAAATGCATGTTAATTAAGCGGCATATTCAAACGAAGTAATTTACATAAATTTGTCTATGAATTTCCTTACCTCATCGTCCCCTTTACTTTCTCATGTTTGTCTTTATTTCCCCCTCATTCTTTACTCGGGTATTTAGGAACACAATAAAAATAATTTCTCTTCATCTACACCGTTAAAGGTTTTTAATTACCGTGAAAAATTTGTGTTCAATGGCAAAACTTCATTCCGCACCCTGTTTGGGATAATACGAATTTATCCCTTTCGCACCGAAGTGGCAAATGTTTAAGTAGATTATGGATTCATTTTAAGTCAACTTTGACTTACTGTGGTATCTTTAACTCTGAGCACGATGTGATTCGGTACATCAGACAATAGGCTACTTGTGTGTTCTCTGTTTTTCTGCTTACGTTTCATTTTTTATTTTGGTTTTTATATATGCCTTTATTATATTTGTGTTCACGGATAGTTTCGCCCGTTTGTATATTTTATATTCATTATGACTGAACAGACCCCGAAACTGTTAAGATTAAGACCCCTCCCGCCTTTCATCTCATTCCATTCTGGTATTCTGCGCAGAAGCTGACTTTCACGAACACGGCGTGACAAACGCACGTGCAGGATTCCCCGCAGTAGCAAAGACACTATAATGCGATTTTAACAGGTTCGTCACATCCAGTATGTTTACAAGTGATGCTTCTGAGCCAAAAGACACCTAACGGTTAGACCTCAGTCAACTGGTGTTTTCGTACAACCTGCTTTACGACATAACACACACGTTTTCGTATGTCGCCATTCATTTCGACGGTCTCTCGAAATGGCATGTGAAGAATCCTTCAAATTTCTCATAATATTTTGTTTCATCTCGTTCTTTTACATTATTGAATAAAAAAACATGTTATTTTCTAATATGCTAATATATGTTTGTATTTTTTCGCTTCATTGAGAAAAATCCAAAAAAATCATGCACAAAATTCTTTTACGCTGTCGCATGTTATCAATACGCATATATACCACATTTTTCGTTTTTCACACGTTTTGTGACCTTACGCACGTACGAGTTTATTTCGACATGCACCGACAGTTTTATCCTTTTCCCTTTCCAGGAAAGTTGAAAAAGATTAAAAACCGATGAAGAACACTATGAATATAAATTTCCATTACAAATGCGCTCATTCACGCATCCGTTCCAGATGAACTATGAGCATCTCGTGCTACACATCCCTTGTAACTACTAGCCAGCTCAGACCAAACGCTCCTTGTCATATAGATAGCTCTCCAAACATAACTTCGAACCCATTCATTTCTGACTTGTGAACTGATATATAAGAAGGGGTCAAAATCATCCTGTGACAACCATGGAGGGATTAGTTTGACTAACGTAGAATCTAAAATACTAGCCTCAATAATTATCGGGCGCCTGACCAAGATTCGTGAACTGCAAACACGAGAAAATCAGGCTGAATTTAGACCTGGTCGTGGCTGCATCAACCACATATTCTCCATTCATTAGGTTTTTAAACAGTCAACCTCGAGTGGTGTCCAACAAGTCTGCCGACTAGCTCCATTTTTGTTCAACTTCACCATGGATCCACTGCTGGAAATAACGTTCTCGTCGACTGAATTTTCGGGCATTGATCTCCTACTAGGTGGTCCACTTAGAATACTCAGATGAGAAAGTCCTGTTCGGTGAAGAATCTGATAAAACGCAGTGTCTTTTGGTAGCACTGAGCAACAATGCCAGAATGTTTGGAATGCGTTTCACCCCCTCTAAAAGCAAGTTGTTGCTCCAGGACT